TCCCAGTGCCTGTGGAGTGCACGCTTGTACAGACATTATGAAAATCAATACAGCGGTTCCTCAGAAAATTGGGAATCCATCTACCTCAAGACCCAGCTATAGCACTCCTGAGCATATAACCAAACAACACTTCATCCTACTCCAATGATACTTGCCCAGTTATGTTCATAGCAGCTTTATTTGTAATAGCCAGAAGCTGGAAACAACCTAGATGTCCCTCAACAGAAGGATGGATAAAGAAAATGTGGTACCTTTACATAAGGAACTATAACTCAGCTGTTAGAAAATGACATTATAAAATCTGTAGACAAATGAATGGAACTAGAGAAAACCATCCTTAGCGAGATAACTCAGATCCAGAAAGACAAACATGGTATGTACACCTGTAAGTGGACATTAACTGTAAAGAAAAGGATAATCATGCTACAATCCAGAGCCAGAAAGGCTAAGCAACAAGGAGGGCTTAGGTGGGGATGAAAGGCTCTCCTGGGAAGAGGAAACAGAACAGATTGCATGGGTGGACTGGGGACTGGGTACAGATGGGAACAAAAGGGATCAGATGGAAGGATGAAAGAAGAGAATACTGGGAGAGATGACTGGAACTGGAGGGTATTTCAGGGGTAAGGTGGAAATCTAGTGCAATGGAAACTCCACGAAATCTATGAGGGTGACCCTAGCAAAGACTCCTAGTAATAGGGGACAAAGTACCTTGAACTGACCATCTTCTCTAACCAACTTAGGCCTCAAGTAGAAGGACTGGAACACCAACCCAGCCAAAAATCAACCTATAGTTGGTCCTGCCTGCAGGATATGCTGGGACCGGAGCCTAGGGTATTTGTCATTAGAGAGACCAGAGAGATTTCATCTAGCAACTGATGGGAGCAGATGGAGAGTCCCAAGCCAAACATAAGTTGAAGCTCAGAGAGAACTGATGAGGAGAGGGAGGAAGGATTCTAGGAGCCAGAGACATCAAGAATACCACAAGAACATGGCTCACAGAATCAACTGACCAGAATTCATGAGGAGGGGGGTGGCGTGTCAAGGAAATCAGAGAGCCTGTCTGGGTCTGACTTAGGCCCTCTGCATAAATGTTATGGTTGTGTTGCTGGGTAATCTTGAGGGACTCCTAACAGTGGGGGTGGGAACTGTCTCTTACTTTTGGCTGCTTTTGGGACCCCTTTCTTCCTACTGGGTTGCCTTGACCAACCTTGATGTGAGGGCATGTGCCTGGTCTTACTGTAGCTTGTTATGCTGAGTTTGGTTGATGTTCCTGGGAGGCCTGCTTCTTTCTGAGGGGAGGTAGAAGAAGGATGGATCTGAGGGAAAGGTGAGATGTGTGTGTGTGCGTGCGTGTGTGTGTGTGTGTGTGCGTGTGTGTGTGTGTGTGTGTGTATGTGTGTATGTCGAGGGGGGAGACAGGAGGTAGGAGGAGGAGGAAGAAGAGGAGGAGGAAGAGAAACTGCAATTGGGATATAATATATGAGAAAAGAATAAATTTTTGAAAAGGGGAAATAGTTTAAAATGATTTAAACCAATAAGTAAAAATAACAAAGGTCCTGTCTTTGTTAAGAACAGAAAAGAATGAATAAAAAAATAGTTTAAATACATCTTGGAACTATAGCAATCACCATTTGGAGCAGCTGAGAATGCTCCTAGACTTACCTGCTGGAGGCAGACAGTCTTTCCAATCAAAATAGCCTGCATATATCCCAGGCTCCAAGGATCCAACAATAGGATCTGCTTTTAGCTCAATGTAATTTTCAAAGAGTCGTTGATCCAGTTCTTTCAGTGATGCCATGCTAACCTACAATACAAGACATATGATTAAAATGTCAAGTTAAGGGTGGAGAAGAAAATAATGCAAGTAAGTATCTATTACATTTTTAAAAGAATTTTTCTACATAATTCAGGTTTCTATCTTATCTATGTCAGTAATAAAGAGAACTATTAGTATGGCTATTTTACATAGTAAGAAATAAGTCCCATCTGTGGACAATAGGTTGTCTTTCAAAATCTTTTAAACTTTCTTTTCTGTAGAAAGACCAAACTGGCAGTATAAATATTCAACAGCCAATGACCAACAATACCAAGGACACCAACTGCAGAGTTCCACATCAGTGATGTCATCCAAAGGCATCCTGTTCTAATAACCTGCCTGTGGCTACTCTGGCTTTTCCCAATCGCTTGTCTGCATGACTGAGTTGTGTCTCAGTGCTGAGCAGTCTGAATTTGTCCTTCAGTCACTCCGTGGAGAAAACAGCTATTGCTCCTTCATGGTTCAAACAATACATCAAGGATGCTACTACAGAGTCCTGGTGTGAGTGCTACAGGCCCAGATCTAGACACAGTTCAGCACAGGCCAACTGCAGCTCCTACTGGCAGTATTGACAAAACAGACAGAGGTCAGTTATCAGCCTTATAGGAGGGGCTTTGGTCTCAGTGGCACTCAAGTGATTAACTGCCATTTGACAACATCAGTGTGCTGGCTCAGGGTATGTGTAGTGGAATATGGTCAATCTTCTTTCACATTGATTAGCTGAGGGGCACAGGCTTTGTGAACACCAGAGCAGAACTTCAAGAAGCGGGCAGGAAAGTGGAAAGCGCATCTAAGGAGTAGGAGTGCTCACCAAGCAGTGGGAGCACCAGCAGGAACGGAATACAGTGAAAACTCTTCAGAAGGAAGTTAGAGTAGATCATAGAACATGATTTTATGATGACAAGGTAATTTCCAAAGAGACTGAACTGAATGGTAGGCTGTCTTTCAAAACACATGGCAGAAATGTCAAGCTGAAGTTAGAAACAGGGAGGGAAAAGAGACTAGCTCTAGGAGGCCTTACAACGCAAACCTATAGAGATTTAAGTGGACATGCATGAACAATGAGCGAAAAGTCAACAAGTAAACAATCTAAAAAAGAAATTTTACTGGATCTGAACCATAGTTTGAGCTGTAGTGGATAGCTGAGCTCCAAGTTAGACTGACGACGCTGAACATATCCAGGTGCATACTATATATAAGAGTTACCAGATTCTAAGTGAATATGGGGGTGGGCTTCACTTTCCCAGAAGAAAGTCATAAACCTACAGAGAATAAAGGCTCAGAATGAGTTCTGAAATGTCACCCTGAAATCTGAGATCACTGCAACAGTATCTACAGGAACCCAAACTCAGGGCCATGGCAATCCCTTACCTAAGTCCAGACAACATACACTTGCTTATGAAAAGATTCAAAGAATGAATCGCCTGCATTTGTGATCAAGGGCACTAACCTAAGTCAAACAAATCAGACTGGGAAGATGAACAGATGAGGAGAATAGTGGAAGAAAATGAAACCCAAGTTCCCTCCCAATCTACTTCATGCCTAGTGCTTACAAAATACACCTAACAGACTAGAACCACCCTAGAAGTATGAAATATAACTTCTAAATAAGCATTCTTTTCAAAAGGTTTTTATGTTTTTTGCCTGTATGTATATATGTGCACCACTTGTACGGAGAGGCCTGTGGAGGCCAGAAGTGGACATCAGATCTTCTGGAACTAGTGGTACACATGGTTGTGAACTGCCTTGTAGGTGCTGGGAACCAAACCAATGCTCTCTGTAATAACAGCAAGTGATCTTAATTGCTCAGCAGCTCCAAAGATTCTTTTAAGTATTCTTAAAATAGGATAGGAGTACGGTTCAGTGGTAGAGCATACAAGAGGACTCGAATGACCCTTAGTAACCCTTGCTGTATCCCACAACAACAATAAAAATTCTTAAACAAAAAGAGGCTGACAACGAAAATACAATGCATCTAAATGTTTTTGGAGATAAGGCAGTGAGTATAGAAATGTTGAGCTTCAGATGTTTAAAAAGAGAAGTTTAAAAGAAGGTTTAGAATTAATGTTTAAACTCCTTTAAGCAGCTAACAAAATAGAAAATTAACATGGAAGGGAACAAATTCGTTTTATTAAAAAAGATGATATTGAAGAAAATCACTAATGCCAAATGAATAAAGTATGTAGGTTCCTTGAAAAATAAAATGTGGGCTGTAGCTCAGTGGTAGGACACTTGCCTACTATGTACAAGGCCCTGGGTTGAATGCCTGGTACTGAAAAAAAAAAACAAAAACTGGGGATGGGAAAGGAGGCACGAAAGGAGGAAAGGGGAGTGTGAAGGAAGGGAGGGGAGGAAAGGGAGGGGAGGAAAGGGAGGGGAGGAAAGGGAGAAAGAAGTTCCTGGCAGCCAATCTAGTGGCGGTGGTGGGGACATCTCTAGGATGTGCCAGAGGATGGGAGAGGCTCCAGAGTCTATGGGGGTGACCTTAGCTGAGACTCCTAGAAGTAGAATATGGAACCTGAAGTGGCCACCTCCTGTAGCCAGGCAGGACTCCCAGTAGAGGGATAAGGACACCAACCCATCCATAGAACTTTTGACCCAAAACTTGTTCTGTCTACAAACAAACAAACAAACAAACAAACAAACAAAAATGCAGTGACAAAGATGGAGCAGAGATTGAGGGAATGGCCAACCAATAACCAGATCAACTTGATACCTATCCCATGGGCAAGCACCTATTCCTGACATTATTAATGATACTCTGTGATGCTTGCAGATAGGAACACAGCATAACTGTCCACTGAGAGGCTCTACCCAGTGGTTGGCCAAAACAGATGCAGAGGCCCACACAGCCAAACAGTGGATGGAGCTCAGGGGTCTTATGGAAGAGTTGGGGGAAGGACTGCAGGCTAAGAAGGGGACAGAAACTCCAAAGGAAGACCAACAGAGTCAACTAATCTACACCCTTGGGGATCTCAAAGACTGAACCACCAACCAAAGAGTATAGACGGGCTGCATCTAGGACCCCACACATATATAGCAGATATGCAGTTTGGTCTTCATATAGGTTCTCCAACAACTGGTGCGGGGGCTGTCCCTAAAGCTGTTGCCTGTTTGTGGATCCCATTCACCTAACTGGGCTGCTGAGCCTGGCCTCAGTTGGAGAGGATACACCAGTTTGAAATTTCAAACACCTGAAATGAAGGAGGATACAGGTCAATGGCACTCCAAGGGTTGGGCGCTGGTCTTCTCTTGCAGTGGGTCTCAGTGAGTTAATAAATTTGGGCTGTGGATATACCTACACCCCAAATGATGCATCTTCTGTGACTGTTTTATAAGCATCTTATATCCTGCTACACTGTCCCTTTAATGGCACAATCACATACCTTCAAAGACTGTGCTTGATTTGACACCTCACACCCATCTGAAGGATATCATAAAGAACCCCACTACCTGCAAACTGGTATCTGAAACTATTTCATGATTAGTTGTTTTTCTTCCTTACAATTCTGCCCTCCCCAAATTAAGATTTTAGAGATGAGAATTTACTGAACTGTAATTCCACTGAGGAGCACATTTCAGTGAGATTATAAACATGAGTGAAGCCATAACAAATGAGAGAGCTAAAGAAGTATCCCTAGTAAGGCCTGAGAATTAATGATGAGGCTCAGTGAACAAAGGCATAAGCTCAAGTGCTGTGGGACTAAGGTGAGGAGGTTTCAAGGTTGATGAGCTAATCAGAATGTCAGCCAGGTGCCATCCAGTGGTGGGAAGGAAACATCCTATAACGGAAAGGCCATGATCCCACTCTGGGGAACAAGGAGAAGTGTCACCTGCAGCTAGATACAGGATGAGACATCTACATCTGCCATGGCTCAGAGGGCAACAAAACTGGCAAGCTGGTTGACAAAAAGGCCATTCAACGGACAGGGCAAGCCACAACAAATGTTCTTTCAACAGAGCACAGGAGGCTGGTGCTGAATGAATGAAAAACTGGATGGATCCAATGAGTTGAAAGACAGCACTCTAAAGTTAGGGAGGTGGATGAAAGTCCTCCACAAACCCCAGCCAGGGGGACTTAGGTTTAGTTCTTCAGGCAAGGAGAGGCGCAGGAATATGGGAAGGAAGAAGAACCATACAGTCAGATTTTTTTTTTTTCTGGAAGCTCACTGGATATTCTATGAAGAATGATTTGAATATTGAAAATAATAATGACAATGACGATGATGACGATGATGATAGATGAAATTATACATCTGCAAAGCAGGTTCTTAAAACACCAGCGGATCAGAAGAGATGAGAAGAAAGGCCAGAATCGGGACAGGAACAGCAGTTCAAAGGAGTAGAACATGGTCCAGAAGGGCTTAAGAAGACAAGTGTGCAACCTAACCTGTGACAGAAATGCAGTCAAGAACAAAATTCCCATTAGCAGCAGAAGAAATGCATCTGTGTGGTATAATGACTCAGTTGGTAGAATGCTTATCTAACATGCATTGGGTCCGGTCCCCAGCACTGCTTAGAACTGGTTATATTCATGTATGCAGTAATCCCAACACTTTGAAGGTGAAGGCAGGAGGATTAGCAAATTCAAGGTCATCCTCAACTATATCTTGGGTTTGAGGACAACTGGAATATAGGACCTTGTTTTCATTTGTCTCAAAAAAAGAAACAACAACCACAAAAACAAATGAAAGAATAAAGGTTAGATAAATGGACTCCTATACAGCCTTATAAAATAAAAGTCAGCCATTTGCAATGATATAAATGAAAAGAGAAGACACTGTATTTAGTGAAATAAGCCAGGAACAGGGAGACAAATACTGTGTGATCTCACCTATAGGTATAATAGGCATCTTTCTAAAGTCAATTTCATAGACACAAAGCAGACAGTAGTCTAGCTACGGAGCAAGGATATGAGAAGGAGAAATTTGATAAAAGACACAAAGTTTCAGACTGGAGGAATTTGTTTCAGGGAACTACTGCATGGA